TTCAATGGTTGATAGCCAGACTGGAATTTTTAGATAGTATTGTCTTTTAGTCTTCTCCCAATTTAGTAGCAAAGCCTCCCATAGATAGTGTCTTCTAAAATACCCCTTGATTTGATTCCCTTGTACCATAAAAAGGCATGCCATCCCAGCAATAGATCGTGTCCTTCAACAGTCAATAATCTAGTATTCCTTAATGTTATCCATTCTTTAACCCACATCAATCTTGCTGCCTGGTAATATAATTTCCAGTTGGGAAGGCCCAGTCCGGCCTCTTGTTCTTGCATCTTGTAACAGTTTTAGTTCTATTCTTGCTTTCCCCCCCTGCCATATGTACTTCAACACTATTTTATTTAAGTCATTGAAGTATTCCTTCCCTAGTCTAATTGGAATTGTCTGGAACAGATACAAGATTCTAGGTAAAATGTTCATTTTAATTGTAGATATTCTCCCTATCATTGATAATTGTAAATTTTCCAATTTCTTCAGGTCAATTGCAATCTGCTGTTTAAGCTTATAGTAATTGTTCTCTTAAGAGCACTACATCTTGCTGTTAAGTATATCCCCAAGTATTTAACCTTATTCTTAACCTGCATCTCCAAAGTTCTTGCCAGTTCTTCCTTTTGTCTTGTTGATATATTCTTTGTCAAGATCTTCATTTTATCTTTATTTATTTTCAGTCCAGCTACTTTTCCATATTCCTCTATTTTTTATATCAGCTTAGGTCCTGTTTCTAATGGATCCTCTAGGATGAAAACCAAATCATCTTCGAATGCTTGTAGCTTATATTCTTCCTTTTTGATTCTCATTCCTTTAATTTCTTTTCCTTCTCTGATGTTTCTATTTAAAACTTCTAATATTAAGACAAAAAGTAAAGGTGATAGTGGGCAGTCTTGTCTCATCCATTTCTTTATTTCAATGGACTCTGTCAGGTCTCCATTAATCATTATCTTAGCTGTTTATTTATGGTATATAGTTTGTATGGCTTGAGTAAATTTCTCACCAAAACCCATCTGTTCCAATTGTGACAACATAAAACACCAATTAACGTTATCAAATGCCTTCTGTGCATCCAAGAACATCAAAGCCAATTGTTTTTCGGGATGCGCCTCATAATATTCCAAAGTATCTAAAATTATTCTCATATTATCTTTAATTTGTTTCTTTGATAGAAACCCATTTTGATCAGGATGAATAAAATTATTTACCGTATTTTCACCCATATAACCCGCCCATGCAAATAACCCGCCCACGTGAATAACCCGCAGGTTTTCNTAAGACCCTGTCTTATTTTTGGGGAAACACGGTACAAATTTACCATATACTGTATGTATATTTTTATTAATATAATTATATAATTAATAATATAAGCATTTGTTAAATTTTTATTCTTTTCCTTCTAAATTTCTCACCTGTCAAGTGTCTTAATGGAAGCTCTTCAAGTCCCTTTGTACCATTGTGATTTAATAAAATTGCTAGTGCAGCATTTTCATAAAGTGTGTTCCCTCGTATTATCTGGAGATTCTCCAAAGGAATAGTTTTCACTGCATTCATTGCTATAACCACATAGCCAGCCACTTCTTGTATACTCTGGAAGATATGGAAGACAAACGTATGCAAAATATAGAGATGGAGACTAAAGCAAATTCTTTTCTTTTACCTTATATTTGCTAAGTATATTTAGGAGAAACACCTCCCTCAAATATGTAATATGCAAATTAAGTAACTTCCATATACTATTCATAAATTCAAAATAGCTCATTATTAAGACTTACAAAGATAAATTCCAGAAATATAAGATAATGTTTATCTCTTTTGTTTATATAGCTGGTATTCAAGATATAATAAAGTTAAAACAGCAAATAATCTTACAGAAATAAAAGACAATTAAAGACATAAATTTTGAGAGACCTACATTTAAATAACCAAATGTATTAAACCAATGTGTACATTGTTCCAGTTCCTGGAGGAAATGCTAGTCTTCCAAGTCTTAAAAAGAGCAGGCTGTGTTGGGGACATCTGGAGCAGGGCAATTGAAATGGGAAATAGCATTCCATTCCAAATCTCCGTGGTGCCACAAATGGTATTAAATTATAGGACCCGAAAAATGCCACATTATTAAAAGGCATAGATATTTGGAAATAGATGAGCTGCAAAGACACAAAGGGCTTTTATCTAGATTGTATTTGCACATAAGAAAACCAGTTCATCTTTATTCCTTCCTGTTCCAACTCTTGCATAGATTTAAGTTCACCCTCTGCATTCA